CGACCGTACTAGTAACTATTACGTAGTCATAGCCTGGTAAAAGTCGGTCTTTTGAGGAAGCTCAAACTAAATAGACCGTGGGTGTGTGATGTGCGTTTAGTTCTGGCGGAGGTCGGGGTCTGTTATGACCATAGTGTGTAGTCATCGAGAGGATGATACACACGGTGATCCCGTAGTGGATGCACCTGGATTGTGGAGCAATTGTGATTGCAGGTTGGCTTGTAAAGCCGTGGCCTAAGAGTGGTTTACAGAGGTGCTAGTAAATTTGAAAATTAGTTTGATTGCTGAAGTGTTGAATGATGTTGGTACATGGCTCTGGATGACTAATGTTATTAGTTAGATTAGAGATTGTTACAGTGACTTGGAGTTTAAAAAAAAAAACAAAGGTGTTAGCGTTAAAGCTTTTTGTTAGAATAAAGATGATTCAGATTCAAAGTTAAGTTTTATCTGGTCAGGATTGACCGAGTCGAGCAAGTATTTTCGTTGATTATTTGGTTGCAGGCTAACACGCGGCTACGGGCTAACACACGAGGGCGTGTGCATGCAGGATGGCCGTGTCGGAGACGGTCATCAATACGGTCGCTAAACGAAGCGCGGCACGACGCCTGAGTGATGGCAGCACCTTCGGTGTTATCGTCAACACTCGGCGAGCTTCGTGCTACGACGGAGCCTAGCTAAGGGAGGGGTGCTAAGAGAGCTGGACACTTGCCTTCGAGCCGAGCCAAGCTTAGGACCGCTCCACTAGGAACTGTCTTGCGTTCCGTATTGTCTATACGTGGTAATAGTGAAGTGGTATATGGTTGTGTAGTGAAGTGCTGTTTAACTATGTACAAAGTGATTATTGTTAATTTGAAATACAACTGTGATTGCATCGACTTTCATTTGAACCAACACTTCCCATATAACGCCCACTGTATAAGTCATGATAAAATAATGGAAAATAATAGAGAAAATTAATGTTGCTTCGATATACTTTTGTTTAAGTAACTCTTTTGTAATAAATTAATTATAAGTATTGATGACATGTTTGGTTCGGTTTGTAGTGACTCTACTTGCTGTGCCACCGGTCGCGGGTCCGAGTCCCCATGGCGGCATTCATTTGTGTGATGAGTCATGGATGTTTATAATATTCTTGTATCTAAAGTTATATATGTGTAGTGTATCAACTATCTGGTATCCAAAACACAGCGTCGTAGCTTACCATGGAACTAGATGGTACTGTATGTCAATTTCCCAGCATACTTATTTCTTTATTTAAGTATTTCACAATAGTTTCTTTGTGTGCTGGGATAAAAATGATGTACTTATCTTAATTGTTGCTTTTCTTAAAAAAAACATTAAGCCGCAAAAAATCATCGGAGATTATTACTATTATAAATGCGTAGGTTTGTATGTACATATGTGTATGTTTGTTACTCTATCATGTTGAAACGGACGGATTTGGACTAAAAATACACAGATAGACCATGACCTGGAGTAGCATCATAGCAAAGTGTTACGTAAGTTGCCAGTGTCCTTATAAAAGGAGGACTTACTGACATATACCCTGTCGTTTTAATATTAATAATGTGGTGATTAACATATGAAAAGCTTAGTTGCCACACATATTATTTGACGATCTGCCGACCCACTTATCTTAACTACCCCAGGAGTACTTGCCTGATCACTAATTACGTATGCATCTAGGCCAGCGATCACTTAATTGCCTTCCCCATTGTGTGTTTTTGTTTAGTGCACAGTCGAGTTGTATACATTAGGGAGTTTTCAGTTTAAGTGAAGCAAGATTATATAGCTTGAATGGTGTTTATAGTGTTTTATTAGTCGCTTATATTAATGTTATCAAATTATTAAAGTTAAGTGTATAAAAGATTTTATCTTTATCTTTTTTTATAAAAAATGTTTTTTTTTTAATTGTGATACATCAAGTAAATTTTATTGTTGGGTCTAGATCTTCTCGGTATAAGGTTGAAGGCCAACCTTAACTTTGGCGATGACATCGAGTCGAAGGCACAGACTGCGGCCAAAAAACTGGGTATCCTAAACAAGGTTAAGCGATACTTCACGCCTGGACAGCTTCTCAATTTATACAAAGCTCAAGTCCGATCATGCATGGAGTATTGCAGTCACCTTTGGGATGGCTCTGCAAAATACCAACTTGCCGCTCTTGACTCGGTGGAACGCAGAGCTAAAAAGCTAATCGGCGACGAAAAGCTTGAGAAAACTAAGCTTCACAGCTTAGCACACCGTCGCCAAGTTGCTTGTCTGTCGGTTTTCTACAGACTGTACTTCGGGGAGTGTGCCCACGAGCTCCACAGTCTCATACCGCCATCGCCATTCTTTTATCGGAACACCAGACGTACTGCAGGATACCATCCTTTCTTGGTTGACATTCCGACCACTCGCACTAAGCGCTATTCATCATCTTTTATATTGCGCACAGCCAGGAAATGGAATGCCCTGCCTGCGTCTGTTTTTCCGAGAGCGTACAACTTGAAACTTTTTAAGGTGCGTGTCAACAGGCTTCTCCTGGGCAAACTCGGTACATCATAGACCTTATCTATACATTTAAAGTAAGATGAAGGTCAAGAGTGAGCCTATTTTTAATAAAAAAAAAAACCAATACTTTAGTTTAGTAAGGTAGAATTTTATAATATGTATGTATGTATTTAAAGTTATATATGTGTAGTGCATCATCTATCTGGTATACATAACACAGGCCTCGTAGCTTACCATGGAACTAGATGGTGCTGTGTGTTAATATCCCAACATAATATTTATTATTTATAACTTATATACGAGGCTTAGTTATATATTATACATACATAATGTTAATTTGCTGATGGCAGTAATAAAATTCAAAATGAGTGTTTAAACATTTAAAGTAGCTGTAAACGTGTAATAACGGATACCAACGACACACATATGATATTACTAATTGCACATCCACTTATTACGCCAAATTGCCAAATTAATTGATATGAGTTAATTAGTAGATACATGGAACCGCCATTTAATACGTAGTACGATCCTAAAGGTGTGTAAAGTTGATATGAAATATTATTATTATTATAACTTAACCTATAAACAGACGAATTGTCAATTATTTATATTATATTTATAAATGCTACTTTAAAAGCAGGTTGATACCATATAGGTCAGGAGTAGTTATCGAAGATATAAGGAAGTGTTGTTAAAAATTCAATCCGTAAAGGGGTCTAAGTGAATTGGAAATTTTTAAACTACGCGAGCAGCGTCGCATGCAAATTCTAGTATTCTATATTAAAAATGGTAAAGAGATATTTTTAAGGCATTAAAATACTAAGTTAATATCTAATCTTCCACAGAAGGTTTCTAGTACTCAATAGTTTTAATGGTTTCCCCCTCATAATTAATAGACAAGCTGAGCTCAGTAATAACGCCTCCACATTTAGATTCATAGCAAATTTATTTAGCAATCTTAACAAAGGTCAAAGAGATACGTACGTAAAGCTTAATTGCGTTGAGCTAAAGCTGGTCAGAGAGTAGAAATAGAAAGTAGAGTTAACTTGCACATGTTGGTGCAAATGTGCCTTAAATAGATAGCTTTATTTTAAAATAATTATATGTATGCAATGTTTCTTATATTAAATAACTTAAAAATCCTAGTTAAGTTAGTAGTTTCTAGTACTTAACTACCTGTGAGCAAGTCGCAGCCTGCGGTGAGTCATCTGAGTGTATTTCCACTGTCGCATGCGACTTCGCAATCTACAGTGTGATCGATTATATTTTTATATTTAATTTTTGTCACCGCATCACGAGAAAACCACTCGACAGGTTTTGATGAAATTTAGTATGGTGATAGCTGGTTATCCAGGTCAACATATAGGATACTTTTTACTGCGGGAAAATATCTCATCTCTGAGAAATCTATACTAAAATTTAAAACGTAACTAGGGATGAACCCGAGCGGAGCGTGGGTGAGTTGCTAGTTTACAATAATTGCGTAAAAAGTGCATTTAAATGTTATTACATATTGATTATTATATATATTACATACATGAGTATCTATTCCCCTTTTATGCGTGAGACTGTTTAAAGCCTATTATATATACAGACCTACTATAATAATTCTGCATATTTTGTAAAAGCTTCCGTCCAATCCTAACCTAACCTGCACACATTCCGTTCCCATCCTTTATTGCAAAACCCATTTACTGGCTATTGTTGACTGCACTTCATCTCACTTGCTAATCTAACTTTTATGGCCATACAAATACGACCTGGACTATTTAACTTAAATACTGTAAAGAGAATATAGCTTCTGTGCCGATCGTAATAAGGGCTTGTCATTTTATATTAGTACTGCTTTCTAGATCGTCAGTCATAATACCGGCTTTGTGGTTTAAATGATTCTGCATTGTAAAAGATTTCCCATGGCGTTGTGGAGTTGACCTACGCAAGAATAAATGAAAATGCTTAGTTACATTAACAGTCAGTTCAGTGGCTTTATGAGAAAGTTTTGTTTTATTGATTTTTTTAGTTTTATTGCGTAAGTTAAGGATTTTGTTTTAATAGTACGATAGAAAGGGTAAAATCAATAGAATAATTTGATAATTTAAATATATTTACGCGCAGCTGAGACGATAGCAGCCCTATATGGTGTAATGAACAGGTGCGTTTTAAACACCTGACGCGTCTAAATACATATGGCGTCGATTTGTTGGTTTTTGAAGTATTTCATGTAGTTCACTGTTATTAATATTTGAATGCTATATCAAATATTTTTGATTGTTTTTTACGAAAGCTTGTTATCAAATAAGCCTTTATTTCACTATTTTTGAATATATTTTAGTGAAGAATTTTATTCGAAAAAGAAACCTATAAAATGTTTCGTGTACCATTGAAATTGTCTTTTTTTGCGGGCAGAGACAAACAAAAACATTCAAAAATATTATTTAAACTGAAATGATTTATTAGAATCGTGGGTTACATTGTTAAATAGATTTTTCAGCTTATCTCTATATCACGTGAGCACTTTTCTTTCGTACCCCTTCCCCCCGAAGGCTGATAACCAGGTGAGCGAGGCGGCGCGGGCGCAGCGGCTTTAGTTTGCTCATGACCGTTGTATGGAGCGCACGTAATGCTCCTCTGAATTTTAAATCATCAAAAGTAATCTCAAGTGCTGTGATACCCAAATAAAGTGTTCGTGGATGGAAGAGTGTCATGTGCTAAAAGTTTGCTGTTATAACGTGAAAAGTTTTTCGCGACTCGCCGGTACCGTTGCGTCTCGCTTCGGCGGTTCACTTAATAACTTGGATCTACAGTGACTGTGTAATAGTGGTTTTGCTAAGATTTAATACCGTGGAAAGGTCACTTACCTTGATCGGTGGAGTATTGAAGGATTTTTCGAAGTGCTCTCATTCTAGAAAGTCTATATTTTTCACAGGCATTTCGTGGATATCAGAAAATTTGGAACATACAATTTTCCTTGTGTACCTACAATCTAGTTTACTTATCGATAGCGTATTGGATTTGGCTGATACTGATTCATTTTCAAGACGGCGTCGTACATTTGTCGTATATTTTCTCGGAAACCGTCTTTGTCGACGTTCTGTTTGATCAGTACAAACTGGTTTCTGCGATATATTCATTGAGCCGTAGATTACCTGTGAGTTTATAATACTTGTTTTCCTTAAATATTCTTTGTATACTGTATAATAATTTCTAGTCATTGACGGTATTGATGTGTTGTGTCAATTTGTATGAGGCTTTAAGTTAAAGCTTGGCTACTTCATTTCTAATACAAGAAAGTGTAGCGAAATCCATACCGATATTGTAGAGCTGTTCAGTGAGACTTATTAGCGGGTGACTCATAACTGATCATCTCGGTATAATAAGTTTTTTTTTATTTATTTTACGCTTGAGAGATTATAATTTGTATCGCAGTGGAGGTTTTGTTTCGGCCAAGTGAAACGGTGGCAATTGGACCTTGATATCCGGCATTGCAGCAACGAATACAATACTTATTTTACTGTTTTGTTGACTGGATGGCATTAAATTTGAAAGGGAATATTTTGTAATAGCATTATATTGTTTATAGTATCTCAATTAAACAGACGCTTAATGACGACACGTTTGACTAAATAACAAAACTCCTAGTGATAATCTCAATCTCGTTATTTTTTTTAATTAGTCGATATTTATATAGTCAACTAGCGATTCACTCTCACATCGCTCGGGTTCGTCCCTAGACACATTTTAACGGTTAGTATAAAATACAAATCTTTGAATTTCTACTCAACCAATTTAGATGAAATTTGGTAAGATAGTTTGGGAAGAGTCCCTTCAGGGGGAAGGGACATAGGATACTTTTTATCCCAGAAATCACTCCTTAAAGGGGTGAAAATGGGGATAAAAGTTTGTATTGGGAGGCAAGCTAAGGACGAACTCGAGCGAAGCGAGGGTGAGTCGCTAGTACCATATAAAGATGATATATAAGTGTAGCTTAAATATATTAAAAAGTACAGTGGACCGTCACGAAGTCGCTGGATTCTATGACCTAGTTGTATTCTGGGTTAAACTGGCTTGACTCGAGAAAAGTGAGCAATGATAAAAGTAATTCTAGAAATGGTTACTCGCAAGTTTTTATAAGACACTTATATAGTTATTGAGCTTTCAGCACTTTCTTGCCTAGTTGTCAATTATTATTTATATATTTATTAGGGTTTATTATGAATTATATCAAAGTATTTTCATTTCAAATATTTGCTTTGGAAGGTCGTAATGAGTATGTAAGTTACCTCTGATTTCATTTGATCATATTAGTAGAAAATGTAGCGTATATATTCTGTTGTATTTGTAATGCTCAGTTTGTATTCATAATATCGTATACTTAGATGATATTAACGTATAAAACTAGCCAAGTATCTGTGGCTAAAATAGCTAGCTTAGAATAAAATAGATAAAATTACACTGCTACATATTGTTTTATAATATAAGATATTTATTTATTACACTTCAAAATGAAATAAGATCTTTAGCGTAGTGATGATAAGTCAATCGTTTGCGCTTTCAGATTTGTTATATTAGTGTGAATTAGTGTCGCTAGTCAGGTCATTAGCAAAGGAAAATGTATTAGAAAGCTGTTGTAGTTATCTTTTCATTAATAGAGGAAGAGCCCGTGAACGCCAGACCTTCGTCATTTTATAAAGGCTCAAAAGTTTGTCAGCGCATGCTCCCAACACAGATAAGAACGATGGACCATTATGAAGTTCAGGCTATGGTGGTTTTGGCAGGTACATGGTACTAAAAGTGTGTAAAATGCCAATCTAAATGCTAATGCCTAAATGCTATGTTAGCAGTCTTATAAATCATCTAATTATTACCCAAGTATTATATATAAACCGGAGTATGAGAGTGATAGGAATAGAGAGTGCACTTGTGTCTGCGCGTACACTTGAGCACTATAATATCTCCTGCGCAGTTGGCTAATCTAATTGAGATTGGCCGCCGTGGCCGGAATCGGTTAGGAGAACATCATCACATCATCATTATATATAAAAATCAGCTTTTATACTATAACGTAAGTAGAATTATGATTTCATGAAAAGTGTGTCTGGCAAGGGTTTGCTACGATGTTAAGTGTCTGGCATTAAATGACGTGATTTTTAATAATATTCTGAAGGTAATACCAAAAAATTACACTTTATTATTTGACGAATTTAGATCGGTATTTTACACACCTTTAGTACCGTGTACCTGCCAAAGCCACCATAGCCTGAACTTCATAATGGTCCATCGTTCTTATCTGTGTTGGGAGTATGCGCTGACAAACTTTCAGCTTTTATAAAATGACGAAGGTCTGGCGTTCACAGGCTCTTAGGCCATAATATACTATACCGCTTGATGGTAATTTAAAATGGCTATCATAAATACATTTAATATTAGTAAACTCTCATGTTATTGTAAAGTTTATATTATGGTATTGATATGATAAAAAGGATATCCTACTAATACTATAAATGCGAAAGTTTGTGAGGAAGTATGGATGTCTGGATGTATAGATTTATGGATGATTGTAACTCTTTCACGCAAAAGCTACTTAATGGATTTTAATGAAACTTTACAGTAATATAGCTCATACATCAGAATAACATATACCTAGGCTACTTTTTTCCCGAAAAAATGTACAGTTCCCGTGAGATATATTTGTTTTTGTTTTTTTAGAGGCGAACCCGAGCGAACCGAGGGTGAGCCGCTACTTTATTATATTTTTCAGTTAGTTTTATGAATTCCCGATATTTCGGTACTTTTACAAGCGCTGTGGTCACAGGTTTATAATATACGTGGTAAATATTCCATTACACTTCATAAAAATATTGTCGGTGACCATAAAATATTAAAGATTTATTTTCATAATTTATACATCTTAATATGAGCTGTTAACCCTTTCCATTTAACGGTATTCACGAAAGTACGAAAATACGGCTAGCATGAAAAAAAATACTGCAATTGGCCTATTTATAGAATAAAATATATCAATATTATCGTCGCTGACTATTTTTTAATGTTTTGCAAACCATATCACACAGTGTTAAGGTAGGAATTGGCGATATTTAAAACACTATATGTTGAAAGTATCCACTTGCTTCCTTATCTAGTCGTTAAAGAAGTTATCAGTCTTTGGTGTGATAAGTGCTGATAGATAGTGATAATGGCACGATGATGTCATGTCGTGCTATGAAATAAATTTGCCGAAATATTTTCTATTCGTAACAAGTTTTATTTTGCAAATCCTTGTTTTTATATATAATAAATGAATAAATAATGTTATTTCATATAAGTATAATATCTGTCTTTAATTGCAAGACTAGCAAGACAAAAATATGTAGACCTTTACATTCTTTTACGTATCAGTGCTAACTTTTTTATCAAAATTAAAGCTCATCATCAATTTTCAAATATAAGTAATAATCGTTAGTTATAAAATTACGTATATAATATTTTATTGTTACCTCGCTTTATTAAAGTGAATAATGAATATATTACAATAAAAACTATTCCGTTTCCCGCTAGCTGTTTGATTGCTAGCCTTCAGACAATGCCGTGTCAGATGTATGTTAAGACTTAGTATTTTTTTAACCAGATATAAATAAAAATATATATGGTCAATAAATAAAAACTACTCAAATCACACAGTAATTTTGGCCTAACGCGAGTGTTTTTCATGACAAGCTACAATTTCTTGCATAAAATGTATAGCAGGTATATGTATAAAATGTAGATATAATTTCCTCACGGGTCCGTAATTGAGCCAGGCCATTGCACTGACCACTCCCAAAAGACTTAATAAAGAAATCTATAAAATTAAAAGCTAAAATTAGACAGGAAAGTTACACGAGGAACTTGTAACGCAACTTAGTTTTTAAGTCTCGAAGGCTGATGTGTATCGCAAGATGGTATTTGGAGCATAAAATTTTAAATAATTTTAAGATGAGATGAATTTACTTTGATGCACACACTCTTAATTTTATAAATTTGCAATTTTTCTCTCTTTTTTGCTCATATGTACCGCCCGTCTGGTCTGTGTAGTTTTTCATTTTTATTTAGGTACATTCTAAAGTAATCTATTTTATGTACATACTAGTGATTTACCCTAGCTTTGCTCTATTGCCCCCATAATCTTTTGTACTTATATAATATGTTTGCCATGTTTTAGCAAATTTTATTGAGTCATCGGGTCATACAGTGTTTGAGTACTAATTTCATCAATCTGTCATCCATACACATACAAAGACACTTTTGCGTTTATAATACAATTTATTTTTATAAATTTCATATTATAATAATAAATAAGTGTGTAGATATGTATTTTTAATACTAAAGGCGAGTAAGGGTATAGCGCGGTCATGTGTTCGATAAGTAGCCATCAGCTGACAGTGCGGCCTCGATAGTAGAACTTGGCTGACCTTAGCATAGATAACTTATGTAGTTATTTTTGATGCGTAGATCAATGTAACTGGGATACATTAAATGCAGTGTGACAATTTATGCTTTTTGCATGTTTTTCGATGTTTTAGTCTTTTTCTACACGAGACATGACCCGACACGACAGAGAGCTTTGGTATATTAGAATAACTTCAACAAAATTTATGATTCATGTTAATCTTACAAACATAAGCTTTTATAACACAATACATGATTTTTCGGTTTAGTTTGTAGGAAG